TCTTCTCTTCTATCCTTCCTGCTTCACAAACACCCCCCAAGTCTCATGGCCAGCAGGTGGCAGACCTAGCCAGACATGCTGTTCTTCCACTCAGTTTGTTAGCATAATCACTGGCTAGTGCCAGCGATCTCCCTCTGAGCAGCCAGACCATGTTGTCCATAGGGCCAAAGAGGCAATGGTGTTGGGCAACAGGGCCTGGGACTTTGCATAAATGATCATGCCTTGAGGCATGGGGCAACGGGATACACAATGGCTTGCCCCAAAAGCACCAGTTCATGTCCCCCAGAAGAGGACACAAATTAGCCAGAATTCCCCGTCAATCATAAAGAAGGATGTAGTAACATGCTAGATAGTGGTTTGAATTTCACTGACAAAGCCCAGCACTGGTGGCTCAAGCCTATAATGCTAGCTACTCAAAAGGCTGAAAGATTGAGAATTGAGGTTCAGGCAAGAAAGTCTATGAGACTTGTTGCAACCTGCTGCATGCCCCTTAATCTGCAGTGACTAGGAGCAAGACAATAAGGGAGACCAGACGGTTTGGGGTTTGGGGTATCAGGGGACCTGTAGCCTTCCGCCAGCAACAGATCCCAAGGTTCCAATCACCAAGGTTTTTACTGGTCTTATGCAAGGAAGTAAGGTACAAACTTCAATGTGTGACAATATTTTGTATGCAAGTGGTAGATAACTTTCTTATTTGGGGAAGGAGAGCTAAACAGTAAATAGCTTATAATTTGCATAAACCTAAGTCTATACGCAGAATCCCACACAGTTTAAGGAAGAGTTAGCCCACACCCAGGGTAGAAATCTGAATCGCCAGTAAGCCAAGACTGACTGACCATTCTAGGAAACTCCCAGTGTTCTGGGAGAAGACCTTCCAAACTCCCAATCCTTTTGGGTCTCATAACCTGGATTTTCAGGCTTTCACAGAGAATATTATCTCCAATTAACCAGTAAAAAGCTGGAAGTAGAGCTATGGCTCAAGTGGTAGAGTGCTAGCCTTAAGCAAAAAAGTCAGGCAAAAGCAGGAGGGCTTGACTTCAAGCCCTAATACCAGCATATGCATGTGTGCATATACACATACACACACACACACACTCACACATACAAAATTCCACTGTCACATACAACATGTGGCTCCTGGACTAAGTTTACTCAATTTCTGGTACTGGTACACACACAAAAAGTATGACAAGGTAAGTTCTTTTTTGTTTGTTTGTTTGTTTTCCAGTCCTGGGGCTAGAAGTCAGGGCCTGGGCACTGTCCCTGAGCTTCATTTGCTAAAGGCTAGCACTCTACCACTTGGGCCACAGCACCACTTCTGGCTTTTTCTGTTTATGTGGTCCTTAGGAATCAAACCTAGGGCTTCCAGGGCTTCATGCAGTCTAGGCAAGCACTCTACCACTAAGACACAGTCCCAGCCCCACTGTTAGATTATTTGGACTTTGCAAGAAAACTATGCAACCATCCAGGTACAGGGAACAAAGAAAAGTTTATAGCTAGGAAAGGGGCCAGCAAGACCACTTCTCATAAGGGAGAAGTGAGAAGCAGCACCAGCTATTGTCTGGGGTGACCTATATAACCTAGGATGTTTAGGAGGGGCTGGAAGGGGTGAGGAGGCAGAGACCCTGGTGTGGACATGTGGGCCAGGGGCTTCATCATGGTGGACTAGGATTGATAGCTGCTGTTCAAATAGTAGATAAGGGGCCTTGCAGCTGCCCAGACCTGAAAGTCACTCTAAGGAGCTCCTGTTGCCTTATATGGTGGTAGCTGCCCCAGGGAAGTACCATCCCAAGGTAAAGGGAGTTGGAGGCTGATTATTTACTGCCTTTATTAAATGGGCCAAGTGTTGCCTAGGAAGGGGAGCATGCTAAGCTATGGAGAGGAAAGAAGTGTACTAAGCTATCAGAAAGGAGCTCATTTCGCTAACACCCACCCCTTTTTAAAATAACTTTATTAGTGTTTCATATTTCTTTGTGGTGCTGGGGATGGAACCCAGGGCCTTGCACTTGGTAGACAAGCTCTCTACTGCTATGCGACACTCCCAGCCCCAACATGGTAACTTTTAGCATGAGTACCTGAGCCCTGCAAGGAGTTAATTGACATCTCATTTCTCATTTGCACATCTCCTCATTAAGGCACTGACTATTTCCTGTGGCAACCTTCTTAGTTGCTAAACACCTGCAACTGTCAGAAGATTGTTCTTGACATTCAGCAACCTTTTTCTCCATGGCTTTCTACAATATGGTTCCTACAGAACTGACTAGCAGCTGGTTGGAAAAAATGAGAGGCAGGCAGGCTACCTGGCTACTGGCCCTGTCTGGTTTGTTTCTGATCTCTGCCTGTAGTCTGATGGGCAGACTGCCAGGTAGCAGCCCTGAGACTTATTTGAGCTGGCTCTGCCCTGATCCTCTCTATGAAGCTGATGATCCGGCTCAAAGACAAGTCTTTGGAAACTAGAGGAGGGGATGAAGGGGAGGCTGAATCTCCCTTTTGTTAACCTTCAGTAGAGACCTACCCAGGCCCTCTTGCTACGATCAGCAAGTGTGGGAGGAAGTGGTGTTGAACCACAAGAAGGGCCCCAGGAAAACGAGGGTCTGATATCATAAAGATAGATGCATAGGGACAGTTGAACTTAATAAATCCACTCCTATATAAAGGAAAGGGAATATCCAAGTCAAAATGTCTCCCTTGGTGCTTCTCCACAGAATGAGAGCATCCTTGTTTGTGGTGACACCTGTTTGCTAGGAAAGGATGCTATCCCAGAGCTGCAAACAGTAGCCTCATGCCAGGATTCCAAATGGATTTCCTTTCAAGTGGCAATGCCAATAGATTAGTAGTGACTGCTTTGGCTCTGAAAAGCTTCTGGGATCGATTGGCCATGACTGCCAGGACATAGATGGACCTTATAGTTGGTACCTGTAGGGAATTCTTGTTCCAGACCATTTCATTTTCTTTGTTCTGACCAAGTAACTATCTTAGATGAACACACCGGACTTTCTACTTAGCTGGATGAAATTGGATCCTGATCTGTCCCCTACCATCTATGAAACTCCCTGTGGGCTGTTTGATTTCCCTGGTGGTCTTAGAAATGCAGAGAACAATGGAATTGTTCATCTCCAAGTGTGCTTGGGGCAAGAAAATTTAGACTAAGCACTTCCCTCAACATGATCCCCACTGGATAGAGCCTGTTGCCCTAACACCCCAAAGTTAAGTGGGCACATACATCTATGTGTGCCCCTTGCCACTACAGAGATGGAAATACTACCAGTGCTAAGCTCAAATGGGTAGAGCCCTACAGTGTTTCTCCATAATTGCAGGTAGGAAAGAGAAAAATAAGACACTAGAGGTAAGCTGTAATGGCTCACACCTATAATTCTAGTTACTCAGCAGTCTGAGACTTGAAGATGAAAGTTTGAAGCCAGCCCTAGGCAGAAAAGTCCAAGATACTTAATTTTTTTTTTCTTTTTGTCAGTTGTGGGTGGGGCTTGAACATAAGGCCTTGGAGCTGTCCCTGAATTCTTTTTGCTCAAGGCTAGCACTCTACCTCTTTGACCCACAGCACCACTTCCAGTTTTTGATGGTCAATTGGAGATAAAAGTCTCACAGACTTTCCTGCCCCGATGGATTTGAACTGTGATCCTCAGATCTGTCTCCTGAGTAGCTAAGATTACAGGTGTGAGCCACCAGCGCCCTGTTCCAAGAGACTCTTGTCTCCAATCAACCAGCAAAAAGCCAGAAGTAGAGGTGTAGCCAAAGTGGTACAGCACCAGCTTTGGGCAAAAAAGCTAAGGGACAGAGCCCAAGTCCTGAATTCAAGCACACACACGCTAGGGCCAGGCACCAATGGCTCAGGCCTGTAACCCTAGCTACTCACAAGGCTGAGATCTAAGGAGGGAGGTTCAAAGCCATCCCCAGCCAGAAAGTCCAAAGAACTCATCTCTATTTAAGGACCAAACAAAGCAGAAGTGGAGCTGCGGTACAGGGACAGTGCAAAGGCTCTGAATTCAAGCCAAGGACCAACACACACAGACACACACACACACACACACACACACACACACAGCGGGATGGGGTGTCTTACCTCAGCAGAGAACTGTATCAACTGCCTCTTGCCATGTGGAAGTTAGAAAGAGGAACCCCATGGAGGCCCTGTAGAGTAAAGAATGACCCAAGGGGTCTTTATATATAAGGGCTGTTGGGAGGGGGGGGGGAGGAGGATAAATGGTTCCAGCCTTTGGAAACACTGTAGGGCTACTCCATCTGAGCCTTGCTATCTTGCTCCAGCTTTAGGGACCCTGGAAAAATTAGACCATGAGAGTCCCCAGATCCCAGAGTGGTAGATAACTGGATTTAAGCTTAAACCATGTGAGACCCTCCAGAACTCAGTTTTCCAACTGTAAAACGGGGACAGCAGCAGAATTCTTTCCCAGCGGGTTTTGTGAGGAATACAATTAAATGCCCATAGAAAGGTTCGACGCGCTGTTCCCGGCAAACAGCAGGAGGTGGAGGATACCGGCGAAGTGGGATGGTGATGGAAACAACGCAGCCCGACTCTGGGTTAGGTTGCGGGCCGCGCCAGTCCCCGTTTGGGGCACGACGGTCCGGGCACACCCTCCGAAGGCCGCCAGGAGGGGGCAGCCCCGAACCCTTAGCCACGACAGCTGCTGCAGTTTTCCAGGCAGGTGCCCGGGCCGCGTCCTCTCCGCGAGGGGACCGGTCGTCGGCTGAGACTGACATTCCAACGGCCCAGTAGCAAGGCGCCTGTTCTGCGCATCCACCCAATCGGTACCGGTTGCCGGGATGCATAGGTTCTCTCAACCAATAGGAAAATTTGCGGCTGTCTGGGGCGGGGCAGAGGGCTGCGAAGCCGGCCAAGCTGGCTTTGCGCACGGGCCGCGCTAGGGGCGTGCGCTAGGGGCGGGGAGGGCTGGCCCTCAGGCTGCACGCTGGGCTGGGGAGCGAAGAAGGGCGGGGCCGCCCTCGCACCGACTCAAGTTGCGGCCCCGGTGACCCAGACCTGCACCGCGCCCAGCCTGGGGGACGTCGCTCCCCGCGGGGGAGGGACCTGCGGACGCCCGTTTGGGGGCGGAGGCCGCTCTGCGGAGCCGCCCACGCAGCGCTCCAGGTAAGCTTCGCCCGGTGGGCGGGGTCCTGGGCCAAGGCCTGCGTAGGGGGTTGAAAACCTGGGACGAAGCTGGGGTTGGGGCGGGGGCGGTGACCGGGGCTGGGCGGGGTAGGGTTCTGTGTGGTGTGGCGCGGGAGGGGAGGGACTGAGTCTTGGGTTCCGAGTCGGGGTCTGAGCGGGGGTCGGGAGCTGGGAGCTGGGCGGTAGAGGCCCTCTCCAGCCCCACCCGTGCGGCGCGCCTCACCGACACGGCGGCCTTGGAGACCCGGGGTCAGCTGGGGCGGTTTCCTTTGTGCTCGGCCTCGAGGCCGTGCGGGACCTGGCCGGGACGCCCCGCACCCCGAGCCCCCAGCTGAGCGCCACCCAGCTCGGCAGCCGGCTCGCCTCCGCACGACCACGGAGTCTGGAAGACGGGGCCCGGCGGCCACGGAAACTTTCCTAGGGCCAGAGGGTTGGCGAGGCCGGGGAACTTTAACTAGATCGACACGCCGCGGGAAAACGCGGTGGCATGGCCATGCTGAAGGGATATTCCAGCACTACTGCTGCTCCTACTGCCTCCGGGATCAACGCGGAGATTCCCTGGGGATGCCAGTCTAGTGTTGAGGTCTGGGCTCCTCCCCACCTCATCCCTACATAAGCTTTTGGTCACTGGTACTTAGCCAGAGAAGGAGTTGCTTTGAGCCAGAGCCTTTCCTATTTTTAATTTAAAAATAATTAGTGCACATAAAACTTGCCCCCCCCCCCCGCTTTTGTATGCTAATACTGGGGCTTAAACTCAGATCAGGGCTTGAACTCAGGGCTTAGGCACTGTCCTTTACCTTTTCCGTTGAAAGCTAAAGCTCTATCACTTGAGCCACAGCTCCTTTCAGCTTTTTTTTTTTTTTTGGTGGTTAATTGGAGATAAGAGTCTCACAGACTTTCCTTCCCAGGTTGAATTCGAACTGCAATCCTTAGTTCTCAGCCGCCTGAGTAGTTAGAATTATAGGCGTCAGGGACAGGCTGACAGCGAAAACCATTTTTATATCGTGTGTCATGTGTCAGAGTGAACATGGAACCGAAGACTCTGGGTCTTTCTTCCCTCTAGATTCACATGTATTTAGAAATGACAAAAAGGAGAGGCTGGGAATGTGGCTTGATGGTAGTGTTTGCCTAGCAGGGATGAAGCTCTGGGTTCAACTTCTCAATACCACATAAACAGAAAAAGCTCTGGGTTCAATTTCTTAATACTACATGAACAGAAAAAGTGGAAGTCGAATATTACCCCTCCTGGTCTAACCATTTGTCCTGCTAAGTCCTGCTAAGTCAGAGATGCTGCCCTTGCCCCCTACCATATCTGGGCTGCTTGGCTCCCTGTGTTCACCTAGTATCCTCTCCAGAGGGAGCCCCTTTCTGGTCCCAGACACCCTTTACATTTCTTAGCTTTCCTTAGGGCAGGGCTGAAGTCCTACCCCTGTTTGTGCTGCCCTAAGATTCAGGATTAATTGGTTTCACTCCAAGAGACAGAAAGGACTGGGATAGGGACCCACAACACAAGTTTGAGACAGGCAGGAACAAGGAAATCCCCTGCAGAGCCAGTTGGAACTAGGGGCACCAAAACAGGCACTAGATGTGCTGGAGCTGTCCAGTCCTCATGTCTATCTTGTTCCTTACCTAGCCAAAGCACAAGGAAAAGGGGTCATAGCTCAGGTGGGGTTCAGGATGCATTCTTCCTAAAGAGCCTAGTGGCTAGGAAGTGGGGGAGATCCCCAGGTACCCAAGTAGGTCATAAGCCATTCTCAAGACTGCTTGGCAGTGGCTCTTGTTGAGTGAGAATGTAGAATGCATTTCCTTCCTTCCTTCCTTTCTTCCTTCTTTCTTTCTTTCTTTCTTTCTTACTTTCTCTCTCTTTCTTCTTCCTTCCCTCCCTCTCTCCCTCCCTCCCCCTTCCCTTCTTTCTTTCCTTCTTTCCTTCTTTCCTTTTTTTTTTCTTGGTCGTGGGGCTTGAACTTTGGGCTTGGGCACTATCCCTCAGCTCTTTTTTTTTTTTTTTAATTTTATTTTATTTGAGAACATACTGTACAGAGGGGTTACAATTACATGGGCAGGATAATGCATACATTTCTTACCAAGCATTGCAGCCTCCTCCTTTGTTTACCCTTCACCTCCCTTCCCAGCCTCTCCCCTCCCCCCATATCCCTCAGCTCTTCAGCTTAAGGCGAGTGCTCTACCGCTTGAACCACAGCACCACTTCCAGTTTTCTAGTGGTTTATTGGAGATAAGAGTCTCACAGACTTTCCTTCCTGGGCTGGCTTTGAACCGTGATCCTCAGATCTCAGCCTCCTGATAGCTAGGATTATAGGCATGAGCCACCGGCACCCAGCTCTTTTTTTCTTCTTAGGCTTCCCTCAAGACAGTGAGCCCCAGAATTAGGATATGGGATCCTGAATCTTCTTGGGCTGTCCCAGCCAAATAACTAGTCTGCATATCTTAGGCTATTTCGGTTTGTTGGGAAGGTAATGCCAGAGAGCTGGCAGATACCCTCGAAGGGAGCCCCTGTCCTTCTTTCTCCACTGAGGCAAAACCTGTCCCTATTTCTAATGAGGGGCTGTCAGCCTCTAATAAAGCAGTCAGGAGCTGAGTATGGCCACCAGAGGGCATCAGGCACTACCATAGGACTTCCAATGGTAAGTAAGACATGTTCCACTCAGCCTCTCCCTGTCTGCCAAAACTTACCCTTATGCCCATCTGGGTTGCCAGAGCTCTGTTTCCCATGGGCTGCCCATGGGGTGTGGAGCTGGAGAGGAGTCAGGGATCCTTGGAACAAGGCCTCTTCCTCCTCCTACTCCACCACCACCATCTCCTCCTCCTTTTCTTCTTCTTCTTCTTTTTTTTCCCCAGTCCTGGGGTTTGAACTCAGGGCCTAGGCACTGTCCCTGAGCTTTTTTTGCTCAAGGCTAGCACTCTACAACTTGAACCACAGCACCACTTCTGGCTTTTTCTGTGTATGTGGTACTGAGGAATCGAACCCAGGGCTTCATGCATGCAAGGCAAGCACTCTACCACTAAGCCACCTTCCTAGACTTGCAGTACTTTTTTTTTTTTTTTTTCTGTTGGTTGTAGGGCCTGAACTCTGGGCCTGGGCGCTGCCCCTGAATTCTTCAGCTTGAGGGCTAGCACTCTACCACTCGAGCCATGGCGCTACTTCTGGCTTTTTCTGCTTATATGGTGCTGAGGAATCGAACCCAGGGCTTTGTACATGCAAGGCAAGCACTCTACCACTGAGCCACCTTCCCAGCACCCCTTGCAGTGCTTTTTATACCCAAGGAGAGGCCTGAGGCCAGTTAGATCCTGCTACCACAGCAGGGTCTAAGTATGGACTGTTGTCTTCATGTCCACAGTAGATATGGATATATGCTCATAATGTGTTCAGTGTCCACTGCAGGAGGAACAGTTTTGTTGTGGTAGATAATGTTGACATTGAGCAGCATTAACTTTCCCGGCCCAATTCTATGCACATGTGCCTATGTTGGCTGCTGGGGCATGTTCCCAGCTACTTGCATTTAGTATCACTTCTGTTCATAGGGCAGAAAGCAAAGAGATCCCACAGGGCTGCAACCTCATGCTTAGGCAGGCTAACCTGATCTTCTCTGGGCCTATGTAGCCCTGAATTGCCTGCCCAGCATGCATAGTCTGGGTCCATCCCAGACTTAGTTTGTACCAATGGGAGCCACCTCACGTAGTCAGTATTTGTGAGATGTAGGCTCACAATCCATGTGAGCCTTGACACATGTCTGTGGAGAACCTGTCTGTTTTTAGAGCTGATAACAAACTCACAGGGTTTTCTATGTGGTAAAACCTACACGAACATTTAAACTAAAAACACAGATGTCCCAGAAATGTCATATTCTGAACAGGGGCTGATTGCTGAGCCTCAGACTAAAGGGTAGGAGCAGGAGAGAGTATCAGTGGGCAGCTCCCACCTACTCCTCATACACCCAGGTATTCCCAGGACATGTCTAACTTAGGCCTCCAGTTCTTCCCTACCCTTGGTTTCCTCCTGACTCCACGATCCTACCCTTATACCTTATTCACCTCCAATTGAAGCCTTTCCGAATGATGAAGGAGCTGTTGTGCAGGGAAACCACTTTTGTGACCCAAAGGAAGCTTGAGCAGAGGCTTAGAAAAATTTGGGAACCACTTCAGAGCAGGGAGGAAAGAACTCCCATCGCCCTTCCTTCCAAAGGTGGCCTTTCATCAGGGGCCCATTCCTTCCCATGTATCTTCGCCATCCTGGTTTTCATGACATGAAATGCTCTGGCAGTGTTCCTGAGCTGGATGTCATGAGAGAGGAGAGGGTTTGGAGGCGTGGTTCAGATGATAGAATGCCAGCCAATGAGTGGAAGCATCAAGTACCAAGTTCAAGTCCCAGTCTCAGACAAAAGTAAAGAAATTGAAGCCCAGTCCTAGTGGCTCATGCCTGTAATCCTAGCTACTGAGCAGGCTGAGAGCTGAAGATAGTTTGACACCAGCCTAGGCAGGAAAGTATGTGAGACTCTTATCCCCAATTAACCATAAAAAAGCAGGAAGTAGAGCTGTGGCTCTGAGTGCTAGCCTTGAGCAAAAAAAAGCTCAGAGACAATTTTCATGCCCAGAATTCAAGCCCCAGGACTGGCCAAAAAGAAAAAGAAAGAGGAAACGTGTCACCAGGATGAGACACAAACTTGGTTCCTTCTTCCCATGGTGGGGCCATGGCCTGAGTGAGTCACTGGCAACACTTTATCCTTTGCTATAGCCCATACACTGTGCATACTGCAGACTGAAGAGCCAGGTCTCAATTATACCTGGCTAGCTCTGGCATTAGTAATCTACCTTCCACTGATGTCTTGGGAACTAGGACCTGCCTTTCCACTCAGGACTGCAGAGTATCCTATTTTTGGTGAGTGTAGTTAATAGTGGATGGACTAGTTCTGGTCAATGTGTACTGTTGGTCAGCTTCATCCTGGGTGGGCACAGCCTCAGGGCTAGACAGGGAAGGATATAAGGGCATCCTTGCCACCCCTGGTTGGATTTTCTAATGACTCAAGTATGGCCAATAGCCACTGGTTTGATATCTGGCTTGAGGACAAGCCTGTAGTGGCACCAACCTACTAGGTTGCTGGTCATTGTTGACCAGGATGTTAGCTGGGTGTGATCCATCAGCTTAGGAGAGACATCCTACAGATGTCAGTAGAGGGATTGAGACCCCTCTTACATGAATAACAGTACCCTGAACCTACTTGTGCCTAGTGTAGGAGTTCTCCCTATGTGCTGTTACCAAGACAAAACAGCTCAGCTTTCTGGAATCTTTAAGAAAGAGGTCACTAATAGTTCACACATCTGAACTCTCAGTATTTAGAAATGCTCATGAGGGAAGTTGACCTGAGGTAACTGCAGAACCAGTTGTATATGGGAACAAGAAAGTGCACAAGAGTGCATGGTTACATCCGGAGTGTTGCAGTTGACCTCAGGGTCAGGGATAACCAGCATCCTCCTTAGGTACAGTTAAGATCACCTTAGTCCAGAAAGGTTTACCCCAGCCAGGGTGGCCTTACACACACAGTGCCCTCTGATTTTTCCACAGGAGCCAGAGACCACAGAATGAGCATTAGGACATGCTGATCTGCTCTTAAGACAGGTAAGTGGCTGAGGCTATTCCTTCTATACTAGACTGCAGAATTACCCTTCCTAGAGGGCATGGTAGGTATAATAGATAGTGAGTAGACTCTAGTCAGTGTGTCCTTACCCTGGGTAAGCATATCCTTAGGGTTGGACAGGGGCTTGCTGCTGCCCCAGGTTGGATTTTCTAATGACTCAAGTATGGTTAACAGCCACTAGCTTAACATCTGGCTTGAGGATGAGCCTGCAGTGGGACCAGTCTGGTAGATTGCTGGTCAGTGTTGGTCTGGACATTAGGGTGTGATCTCTGTCTCAGCTTGGATGCCAGCCTCAGTGATCTGTATTGAAACAGCCTGCCTAGTCTAGTGCTTACCTCAGCTTTCTTTTCTTTTTCCTTTTTTTCTTTTTTCTTTTTTTTTTTCTTGGGTCCTGTCGTGGGGCCTGAACTCTGGGCCTGGGCACTGTCCCTCAGCTCTTCAGCTCAAGGCTAGCGCTCTACCACTTGAGCCACAGCGCCACGTCCGGCTTTTTTCTTTTTGCTTATGTCGTGCTGAGGAATCGAACCCAGGGCCTCAGGCATGCAAGGCAAGCGCTCTACCACTGAGCCACCCTCCCAGCCCCCTTACCTCAGCTTTCTGATGCCCACAAGATACTGGAGCCTCTAGCACAAACTTTGTCTAAAAAGGCCAGATAATTAACATTATGATTTTGTAGATCTTATGGTCTCTGTCATAGCCACACTGCTCTGCCACTGTAGGACAAAAAACAACTGCAGAGGACTGTAACAAATCATGTTCTGCTCTGGCACAGCTATGGCCATGTGTGCCAACCCCTACTGAGTAGTTATCTTTGTTTTGGGTTCAACTGTTAATTATAGCTGCCAGTTCTAGTAGTGCCCATGTGTAGTACCCAGGAAGTATTGAGAGGCCAAGTTGTCCCTGTGCCCCCCTAGTACTCTCTTAAGTGGAAGGGAAATGCTGATACCACTTGAAACCTTGCAATGGTTGCTGTTGGGCAGAGAGGGTAACAGCTACAAAGAATCTCCCTGGTTATTCTCTTGGTTATTTTTTTTTTTTGTCTGTCCTGGGGCTTGAACTCTGGGCCTGAGCACTGTACCTCAGCTCTTCAGTTCAAGGCGAACGAGTGCTCTCCCACTTGAGCTACAGGGCCACTTCCAGTTTTCTGGTGGTTTATTGGAGATAAGAATTTTTTTTTGGGTCCGGTCGTGGGGCCTGAACTCTGGGCCTGGGCGCTGTCCCTCAGCTCTTCAGCTCAAGGCTAGCGCTCTACCACTTGAGCCACAGTGCCACTTCTGGCTTTTTTCTTTTTGCTTATGTGGTACTGAGGAATCGAACCCAGGGCCTCAAGCATGCAAGGCAAGCGCTCTACCACTGAGCCACCTTCCCAGCCCTGGAGATAAGAATTTTACGGACTTTCTTGCCTGGTTTTGAACCAAGATCCTCAGATCTTAGCCTCCTGAGTAGCTAGGATTACAGGCGTGAGCCACCGGTGCCCGTCTCTCCTGGTTATTTTGTGCTAGTACCAAGCTTTAAGGGCCTGGTCATTGTCCCTCTGCTTATTTGCTCAAAGCTGGTGCTCTACTACTTGAGCTATACCCCCATTTCCAGCTTTTTGGTGGTTAATTAGAGATTAGAGTTTTATGGACGTTCCTACCTTGATCCTGAGTCCTCAGCATCCTGAGTAGCTAGTTAAGGTTACAGTTGTGAGCCCAGGTGCCTCCCTGGTCACTCTATTTCTCCAGTACTAGTGCTCACTTCCTAACTAGTTATCTGCCCAGCTCCTACTGAGGGCTGACTCTGGGAGGCTTAGCTGATGCCAGGCTTGTAGATTTTCAGTGATACCTAGTGCCGGGGTAGAGGCATGGCCCACAAGGACTGTGTTGGGGAGATGGTAGTAGCTACAGACCCAGAAGTGCTGAAGCCTTTGGATGCTTGAGTGCCCTATACTAAGAGTCATAGCACAAAGGAGGGACAGGGTAGTCTGAGTTGATTTTGCCTTTTCCCAAAGACCTTGGGTATAGAAAACTGCTGGCAGGCTATCCTGGTAGGAACCAGTTCTGTTGCTGACTTCTGTGTTGAAGAGGCAGTCTCTGGTGGGGCATCTAAGTGTTCAGTCCACTGAGCCAGGAGAGCCTCAGGTTGTGTCCAGGGATCACTGGTCTAGGGCATTTAGACCTTGGGATATGACATTGATTGTAGCACAGATACAGCCTCTGGCAACAGTAGTGGGAAGAAGAGCTAGCCTGCACCCCTTTTAATTCCTCATGAATTCCACCATACCTCATGAAGGCCAGGTTAGCCAGACATTAAATCACAACTCTGGCAATAGCATCTGCAGGAAAGCAGTAGATTAAGCACACCTGAAGCAACCTGATCATTCTCATCTACTCTGCTGTGCTTGCTCCTTTTTTTTTTTTTTTGTTGGTCGTGGGGCTTGAACTCTGGGCTTGGTTTCTTTTTCTTTCTTTTCTTTTCTTTTCTTTTTTTTTTTTTTGTCGGTCTTGGAGCCTGAACTCTGGGCCTGGGTGCTGTCCCTCAGCTCTTCAGCTGTAGACTAGCGCTCTACCACTTTAGCCACAGCCCCACTTCTGGCCTTTTCTGATTATGTGGTGCTGAGGAATCGAACTGAGGGCTTCATGCATGCAAGGCAAGCACTCTTCCACTGAGCCATCTTCCCAGCTCCTGAACTCTGGGCTTGGGTGCTGTCCTTGGGCTCTTCAGCTCAAGGCAAGTGCTCTACCACTTGAGGCACAGCGCCACTTTCGGTTTTCTAGTGGTTTATTGGAGATAAGAGTCTCATGGACTTTCCTTCTCGGGCTGGCTTTGAACTGTGATCTTCAGATCTCAGCCTCCTGAGTAGCTAGGATTACAGGCGTGAGCCACCGGCACCTGGCTGTGCTTGCTCCTTTTCTCCCCCTTTCTCCCTCTTTACTTTCAGTTCCTGGTCTTCTCCCCATCTGTCTCTGGTCCTCTCCATTCCTCTTTCTTTCCTCTCTTTCTTCCTTTGTTTTGTTTGCCTGGAGTGTTTGTGATTGATTTTTCAAAACTGCTGTGGTAATTGATTACTCATGTCTGTCCTGTGTGTTAAAGTTAAAGGTAGCAGCAATATACCATCTCTGCTTTGGATTAGGCCCCATTTCACAGACTGGCTAGCAGAACTGGGCTCTGGCTTATGGCACCTTGCTGTGTTGAGCCTTGGGATTTGGCCCTGTCTACAAACAAAGGGTGGGGAATAGGGATGGTAGAAGACTGAGAAGTGTGCCTTGGCCCTAACGTCAGACAGGAGCTGATGATAAGCACCCATGTGTCTCTCCCCATATCTTTCCTCACTTAGCCTTTGCTCACCAAGTCTAATGCTGGACACTGGCTATTAAAGCCACACCAGGCCCAGCTCTGCCCTTGAGGAGCTCCCTGCTGGTGGGAGATAGAGATAATAATGGGAACACAATGAATAATGGGAACACATTAGGGAACACAATGAATGTGAAGTTGGGAGGTGGTGATGAATAGTGGGACTCCTGGGGAGGCAGCATGGGGGAGGGGGTGACATACTCTGAGCCAAATCTAGGTGACAAAGGCCAGCGAAGACACATGCCTCTCACTGCATATAAGCTAGCCCTTCCCTTCCCTCTCAGAAATCAGCACCAACCCAACCTGGCCCCCCCCCCCCCCCCCAAGGATCCCCTGTGATTTGATGGGTTTCTCAGCACTTGGTCTAAGTCTTTCTATGTGAAAGATATCAATTCTTTGCTCATCTAACTGCCTACTGCACATTTTTCTCAGCTTTCTAATCTTTGTTTATGACAGTTTTTGATGTTCAGGAATTTTTCATACTTTGTAGCAAAATGTTGAATATTTTTCTCCTTTTTTAGTTATTCCATTGCTCTGTGCAACTTGTAGCCAGATAAATATGCATCTGTCTTCTAGTAGGTGTTTCCACTTTAGGTTTTTACATCCAAGATTTAATCTATCTAGAATTTATTTTGACATAAATGACAGACAAGGGTTTACTTTTTTTCTGTTGCATACAAACTGTTTCTTGCATAATAGTGCCTTATGTCACTGGAAATTGGAAATGTTTCGACATCCTCATGTTCTCAGGTTTGCTGTCACTTGTGATGGGTACTCAGTCCTTAGCCAACACTCTCTGCTCTGGTTAAAAAACAGTATCTGGAGCCGGGTGCTGGTGGCTCACGCCTGTAATCCTAGCTACTCAGGAGGCTGAGATCTGAGGATCTTGGTTCAAAGCCAGCCCGTGCAGGAAAGACCATGAGATTCCTATCTCCAATAAACCACCAGAGGGGCTGGGAAGGTGGCTCAGTGGTAGAGTGCTTGCCTTGCATGCATGAGGCCCTGGGTTCGATTCCTCAGCACCACATAAGCAGAAAAAGCCAGAAGTGGTGCTGTGGCTCAAGTGGTAGAGGGCTAGCCTTGAGCTGAAGAGCTGAGGGACAGCACCCAGGCCCAGAGTTCAAGCCCCATGACTGACAAAAAGACAAAACAAAACAGTATCTGGGGAGGGATGTGTGCACCATCAGTTTTTGTTTTCGGAGTCCCAATCATATGGTACATATACTTGTATGGATGTTGACTGAGCCACTGCAGGTTCCCCTGGAGTTGGTGGTATTTGCACAGGTTGACCCTCTCAGCATGGTTGAGCACAGGGCCGGCCTGATCGCTCAATAGGGATCCTATCCCATAACCTCAAAAGCATCTTGATTCAACTTGTGTCTGGATCTTTAATGCCATGTGCTGACTATGGTTGGTGAAAGCCTTACCCAAGTTTGAGTTATTTCCTGGCCAGGTCCTCACACATGTCTTGTTTGTGTCCTAGTTCTGGTGGACAAGGTGAACACAGTCAGTCATGCAAGGACCTAGCCCACATGGCTGGCCAGGCTAGTGCAGGCAGCTGCCTTCACCCTGCCACCCCTTGCTCAGGATGATTTGTGGCTGGTGGCATGACCCTTGCTGCAGGGTCAAACTGGCATGCCCTGTAGTA